TAGTCCCGACACGAATATCATGTTAAGAACATTTTAATGATGTATTAAATAAATTAAGATTTGAGGTGAAATTATATTAAATTACCGTTAGATTCCAAAATCAAAAGTCGTGTTAATTTAACATTGAATATTATTATAGTCCCGACATTATTATTATGTTAGGAACAAATATAAAAAATAAAAACAAGTTAAATTGATTAGATTTTATCTTTAAATTTAATTAAGATGTTATAAATCCTAAAATTTAGACTAAAAAAATGTTTTTAAATATTAACATCGGATAATATTTTATGGATGAATATCATGTAAAAATAACTCTATATCTTAGAAATATGAATATAAAAACTCTATTTTTAGGGTAAAACTCTTAATAAATTTATTTCTATGCAAAAAATAATTATATAACATGAAATAAAGAAAAATTAGAGAGTGCCTAGCCAAACGATTAGTCTTCTTCAACGCGTCCATATACAAACGATTAGTCTTTCATAGAAAAAATACGAGTACCAAAAGGATGGACAATAAATAATCCTAATAAAGACTCCAAATATAATAGACCAAAAGGGATGAAACAATCTTCTAAGCATCCTGGATGTAACGAGTATTTCACCCCAAACTCGAATGCTAAGTTACTCTTCGTAATCTCACTTACCAAGACTCAAGAGAGTAATTGATATATCCGAATGATATGTGTCATCATATGACTTCTAATAAGTCAAAGACGTTGCCTAGATGAGTAGACGAGTCTATTAAGAAAGTAAGTGGAAAAACAAACCTTACTAATAAGTTTACCAAATGATCTCACCTCGAACAACAAACACGAACGATCGAGCCTATTTTCATAAAATGGAAGAGACAGATTATGCATCTATTAAATGAGAGTATGCATCCAACATTAGTTATATCTAACTAATGTCAATTATGACACTATCATATTCTCCCAACTATAGTATGTTAATATCAAAGACATATGTTCATTACGTGAATGTCCGAAGCTAGCGACAACAAGAAAATAAGCCATCATATATCTCTTTTCATGCAATCCGTCAAAACCCTTAACTATATAAATAGTAAAGGACCTAAGGTTTCGGGTTCTAAATCTCTCTAAGAGCAACTATTATTCATCATCTTCTTTTATAGTTGCTTTTTCAAACCACCATTTTCCTCTATGGATCGACTTAATCATCAAAGGGTATTCTAACCCATAAATAAAATCAAAGGGTATTCTAACCCATAAATAAAAAACTTGTTTTGTAGGTATTCCAACTAGTTTGATCTTCATCAACCATCAAACTTTACAACTATACAAGTCAAGAAAAAACCACCTCATCACACGTCATTACTTGACATTCACTATCTCATCACTTTCAATTATTTAGTGTCGCCTAATAAACTACTATTGCATAAACTTACGTACTTAGGAACCGATATGCTACGACGATTTTTGAAACTAGAAAAGACTATATCCCATCGAGCATATATGTACTAGCTAAAGGCATCAAAGAACTCACAATGGACTTGTGTATTTATTTTACACATGCTTGTCACTTTTTAGGTTTAAAACTTAGAATATTATTCAAAATTTCTTGCATCAACCGTTAAATAAAAGTGATGAAGTAATTGTAAAAAGGAAATTTTGAATTAATAGTTATATTTTAAAAACAATGGATGGTTATTAGGTAAATTGATCCATTGATTTATAGCCGAATGGTTGTGTTATATGCAATTTTTAATCTATTTTAGTCTTAATAAATGGTAGGTAAACTAATTAACACTTGCATGATAATATTTTTAAACTTTGAATTAGGTCAATTAATTCATTGATTTACAGTCGAATGGTTGTGCTTTATGTTATTTTTAATCTATTTTAGTCTCAATAAATGTTGCGTAAACTAATTAACACTTACATGATGATATTTTTAAACTTTGAATTATTATTTTTCATAACAAAGATATAATTAATGCACATATGATGATATTTTTAAAATTTAAATTATTCCGATAAACTAAATAATAAATGCTCGTTGATCGTGTTAGATATTGTGTTATTTGTATCATAACCGAAAACGTATTTTGGTAAATTTCTCCTAAGGCACCTCTTATGAATTATTGTCTCCAATTTTGACGAACAATCAAAACTTCCAACTTAAAACCCACTAGAAGGACTAAAAAGTCTTGAGAATTGTGAGCAAATAAAAGGGCTTGGTGTAATTTTCAGAAGCCAAAGAAATGACACGAATCAAACCAAATTAACCTACATTGTCTATTTTGTTTGATGAAAGGGAAAACTACGTTACATTCGTCTGTTTAATTTATCTCATATTGGCCGATAGCTCTTCTTTGTCCTTGTTTCTGTTTTAACTCTCCTGGTGTCCCTGACCTTCCCCCTCCAAGGCTGAACCATGCAAAACCAACCAGAAGTTACATGGTTCCTGAGGCCATTGACGTAATAGTCCCACAACAATAATGAGTGGCGGATGTGACTGTACACGTGTACGGAGAAGGATCGATCTCAAAAGCATATCGTGATAGTACAAGTAGCATGGTGGGTGAGATCTAGTGAGGGTAACGGCCCACGTGGATGTGATATCAATGTGGGTTTGGGTACGGCATATTCTAGCGTAGAATCGCATCATATTTAGGATTAGGATCTCTTATCGTACCATTTATTTTATTTTTTGGACCAAATACTATTAATTATTGTTGTACAAGCTTATCCATCACCTCCCTACCTTATCCACGGGCACCGGCTTGGTTTTTTACCAGCAGATCTCCACCAAAAGTCCAATATCCACAATGTGTTTTTCATTTTTTATTGGAATGTCAACTACTGAAGCCCAGAATTAATTAAATTTTCAAGCAAGTTGAAATAAAATAAAAGAGCAAGTATGGTATTACAAGCCAGGGAGGCACTGTCCAGAGTGTTTTGTTGAAGAACCAAAATGGAAAATTGGATGTAAAAGCAGCAGTGGGGAAACCATGGAGAACTTTTAAGGAAAGTGTGTCCATGTGATTCCTTTTGTACGGTGTGGATTCAAGTGCAATCCTTTGGGGCACATGCCTTGCTTGACTTTATTCCTAACGTGTCAGCAATGTGTTGCGTGTCTGGTCCCTACTCTAAACGTGTCCTCTGAAGAGCCCCAGAAGTTTACTATTTCTCTTTTTCAACTCCCCCTAGTTCCCCTTTCTTCGACCTTTTGCCCTGAGATTCTACTCCCCTTTTGGTGAGTTCACATTTCTTCTTCTTCCCCTCTCCCGTTATAATTTTCTTCTCTCTCGTCGACGCCGAGCTCACAAGTATTTCCTTTGCTAGCCAAAAAGAATGTCATTTTTTTTATTGTAAAGTATAATTTCATCCGTGTGTTTTCAGATAAATAATTAATCAATCCTTTTTTGCTTAAAAAACCCAATATTAGATTCTTATATTTTCAAATTTGTTTGTAACTTAATTTTTATGTTGGTTTTTCACTGCAATTTAATTGATTTTTCCTAAATATCATTAAATTCAAGTAAAAATTTTCAATTTCACCTACTACAGATATAATTAAAATTGCATTTATAATGAGTAATTCAAGATTTTCAAAAATATTTAACAGTATTGAAAAAAAAAAAAGAGTAAATTATAAATTAATTCCTCTCGTTTTGAGAAGCAAAATAACTAGTCCCTTTGATCTCAAAAACTAATTGTTTAGTTCGATTTGTTATTTTTTGATTTACTTTGATTTTTTATTTAAAAAATAGAAAAGATTGATGAAAAAATAAAATAAAAATATTAAATTAATTATCATTAATATTGATTAAAAAATTTAAATAATTAGTTTTTAAAAATAAAAAGATTAATTAATTCATTTTTCAGAACGAGAAAGAATAATTTATAATTTACTCAAAAAACTAACATATGATTTCTAAAATGGGGACTGAATGATTGCTTACTCAAGAAAAAATTCACACATAATCTTACCTATTATTGTCTTGTATTAATAGTTGGATCCTCTAGGCGTTCTTCTCCCTCCCCTGCTTTCACCTTAAATTTTCTTTATAAACTCGAGTATAGCTACGATGATTTATGAATTGCAGGACACACACAAATTGCCTTTCTCCAAAAAAAAAAGGTATAAAACACTATTGATGTAGGACAACTTACAGGTTGTTCTGGACTTGATCTTTGCATGCTGTTTAAGGGTATTTAAGGTTGTATTGGGCAGGTTTATAGGAGTCGTACCTAAGGAAGGATTGAGTCACACAATTAAAAACAAATTGTTGAAATTTTATTCATAAACTATCATTCATAATTTTGTTGAAATTTTATTCATAAAATGTCATTTATAATTTTGAAAAACTAAACCCTATATTTATAGAGTTGTAAAAATCCAAATCCTAATAGGACAAGAATTCCTAAATCTCTAACATAATTATTCTTATTTAAAAAAAAAAAACCTATAACTATTCCTATTTTGGAATAGGAAATTTCAGCTAATAACTTTAGGATTAAATCAGAAATAAAACCCAGAGCTAGACAATTCCAGATTTCCAGCAAACTTGAGAAAATTAATCGAATACCCTTGCATTCTAAAATTTAAATAAAACACATAAACTTTAATCTTTTGTCGTCAGCATCATCCTTTCTGACTTGGAGAAAACTCGACCACGAGTTTTGAAATTATGTGATTGCATCGTCATCATCGATAAAGCCATCAACCTCATAAGTCCCAAAATCAAAAGAATTTCCAGCCAAATCAGATTCTTGTTCTGGAACTTCCTTTCCTTATGCGATCCTAACATGCAAATTATTCTTCTTAGGCCACTGGTAGCCCATGTCTCCCCGTTCTCCTCATTTAAAACAAATGTGTCCTTTGTTGTTTCTGCGTTGGTAGGGCTTATATTAGAAGAACGTTTTCAACCATTAGAATGGTTGAAAGGTTGTGAATGGAGTGACATTCCTTCTTTACTCAAGTAAATAGCTGGCCTTTGGTTCTTACCATAGGAAATGGTTGTAAATCTCATAGAAGTCTTCTTTTTAGCTTCTTCTCAATCTGAGCAGCAACTTGAACCGCATCAGCCATTGTATAAAACCTACAAGTAGCTAAACCAGAAGAAATTTGCAAATTCAGCCCTTGGCGATACATAGATAAAATGACATCATCATTCCATGGAAATTCAGACCTTGTTGCTAAGCTGAAAACCTTGTTAGTGTACTCATTGACGTGCAAACTTCCTTGGGTCAATTACATAAATGTATGTGAACTCGTTGCTTGTAATTAGGTGGTACAAAATAACAGATCACAGCAATCTTCTTATCTTCCCAAGTTCTAAGGGTAGAATAATGACTTTGATGAAATTTTTCCCACCAAACTCATAGCTGTCACTTTTAGCTTAGCTTCCGCAAAATAAATTGTTCGCCCATCACCCAAGTGATACTATTTAAAGAGACTTTCCAAACTATGTAACCAATCAAGAAATGCCTTCGGATTTTTCTCTCCATGAAAATATCCAACACCGAGCTTAATACCTTTATTTATATCATTCATCCTTAAGTTTCTTGATATCGAATTTGAGGAAGAAAAGAAGGATGAGTTTATACCTTCCGTGCTAAAAATTGCATTGATGAGCCTACTACAGGCTGTGTTTGGTTAGGCACTGGCTGGTTGAGGCTAGCTCCATGAAAATTTAAAGGAGAACTTGGACATGTAGCTGCACGGCCATTAGAGAATTCAGATGATCAACATCTTGCCTAGGTGCAGTTTCAGCGAGATTTTCCACTTGTCACTAGTTGTTAAATTCTTTAGCGTAATCTTTCTCTCATCCAAGGATGATTCAATCGACGATTCTATTGATACAATCGTATATTTGTATTCTTCAAATTCTTTTCGAAACGTCCCAAAATTCTTTGAAAAAGACTCCAACTTTGAAGAAAGTTCTGCGAGAGAAGAAAATAGTTTGAGAAGAAATTCAGAAAAGAGAGGGAAGAATCTAACAAGCTCTGATAACAATTGATGTAGGACAAGTTGAGAGATCTTTGAGACTATTTAAGGGTGTTTAAGGTTGTATTGGATAGGTTTCTAGGAGTCACACCTATAGAGGGATTAGAGTCACGCAATCAAAAACAAATTATTGGAATTTTATTCATAAACCATCATTCATAATTTTGCTGGAATTTTATTCATAAAATGTCATTCATAAACTTGAAAGACTAAACTCTATTTATGAAGTTGTAGAAGTTCAAATCCTACTAGGACAAAAATTCCTAAACATCTGACATAACTATTCTTTTTTAAAAAAAAAACCATAACTATTCCTACTTTAGAATAGGAAATTTCACCCAATAACTTTAGGACTAAAAAATTTAAATATGTCCAAACCTGGACATATTCTAGATTTCCAGCAAACTTAAGAAAATTACTAAAATACCTTTGCATTCTAAAATTTAAATTAAACACATACATCTTAGTCTTTTGTAGTCCCCATCAACCATCTTGTACGCACTTTTTTTCACGGGAAGGGAGGCCATGACCCTCACCAACCCCTTAATAGCTCTGCTATTTGATTATACTACAACTTTGACTCAGTTCAAAATGAGAGGATTTTATGGTGAAGTTGAAGATGGTCGCAGCAACAAAGATGATTGCAGCTGGAGAAGTAAAAGAAGAGCAGAGCCATCACTTCCTTAGGATTTGAGCAGATTGGTGGACAAGCTGAAGATACTTGTCAGTGAAAAAGTACGAGAAAAGGATACCCAAAAAGGCTTCTCGTTAGATTTTTATGAATTTATATCATATGTTGCTTTAAACAAAAGCAAGTAGTTCTCGATGCAACATATTGGTGAGGCCATGATTCTGGCAATCACGCTTCAGCTATATTTTTGGTTTTTCAAAACACATTTAAAGCAAGGTAAATTAAACTTAGGACTAAAATTTCTTCAACCGAAACTTTAGAAAATTGGTTATTAATGGATGTCAAATGAGCAGACAACTCACAGTTAAATGCCTCTCAAGTTGAGGACTAAAAGAGCAAGCATCAAATTAATCATCACAAAAGTTGATCACAATTGAGAGAAATATGATCTTACACTTTTGAGTGCAATAACAAGCAGTCTTTGATCATCTAAAGCTTTTATTAGCCATATGAAAGCTTAAGTCGCTCTTCCAAATAGGCCCCACTGCAAATGGGGGAAATCTACAAACATAACCAAAAGAATTTTATTTCCATTTTTTATCCAAAACAATGATAATATAAATCTTTTTACAAGATAATTAACAAGCATACTAGCAAACAGGGATTCTTTTCCACCATAGTAGGCAAATTAAGAAAGCAAGTCTCCAAGAACCTTAAGAACTTTCCAGGTCCCTTTGGAGCTCCTTTCATTTATGCATGGTTTCGATTCTATACACCATCTTCGTAAACAAGTTATCAATCTAGTATTTCAAAATTCTTAAAAAGTTCCTAAATCTTTTTAGTAGTAGTAGAATTTCATGGTTAGCGGTTAAATATTAAAGACATACCAAAATGCTTATATAAACGAGTCAAAAATAAAAATAAGTATTTAGTATTTACTAGCCTAATCACTAAGACAACTTGGTTAAAAATATAGGACACTACACTAGTAAAATCTATCGAGTGAAAAGGTATGACCTCTTTCAGGGCCAACTTAGCGAGTCAATTATTCTCACATCGTATGCTGTTAGTTTGTTAATGAAAATTAAAAACCCTATCATTAAGATACACTATAATCGCCAACTATTGATTAATATTTAAACAATAACACTGAACTCATAATAAATCATTACAATGAAACAGATTTAAATACCTTGCTGGACATGATTCACTGCAACAACTTTTCAAACATTCGACGACACAATCTGGGTTAGGATCTAAGAAGAATGCCAACTGCAATAATGTATCACAAAAAAGGCCAACATCAAGACAAAAATCCAATCATGGAAGACATTATTAAATTCACTGAGAAAAATAATTTCAATATGTTAGCACATAGCATGAAAAAGAACAAAGTTCAATTTCCACAACATTTGAAAGAGAGAAGTGAAATATTGAAAAAGACTTGTCATGAAGGCAATTCCAGACTGAACAATCTGCAGGATCTACAAGTCTGCTTCTAACCGAGAAGTATGATATCACAATATTGAAAATCCTGTACGCAAGTTCAAAAACATGCACTTTTGCATGTCCAAAGAAAAGGCTCATGAACTCTAAACATAGAATTTAAAGTTAAAACTATTAGAAGTCCAACTTCATAAGAGATGACAGAGAGAAGTGAAATAGGTGATTACTGAGTAGCGTTCTTGTCCTGTTGGCATCACTCTATGCAGTGTGGACCTACAAGGTAAAGGATTTAGGAATAAAACAAATATCACAAAAGGGGGACTGAAAAACTTCATGAATAATATTGATAAATTCTGCAAGGACGAAAAGGAAGTCGATAAATTCTCCAACGAAGAAAAGGAAGGAAAGATGTAACGATGAAATGTCCCAAATTAGAGAATAGTAAATTACCTGAACAAACAATTAGTCCACCTCTCCATCATGTCACCAATGTTAACTATGAAAGCCCTGCAAATTCATACTTACGTAGTTTGTAGGTCTGAACATTCCAATAAAAAGCTAATAGAAAAGGCTGCTTAGGATAATGGATTTATGGTTTTCCGACAGCAATCCACAATCCAAATTCATTTCAACAAAAACAGTATGCCAAAGGATGTACTAACTGGAGCACTCAACTGGACAACTTACACATCATTAGTCATGAATCATACTGAAGGCATCACATCTCATTTGATTTCAAAAAAGAACATGAGGTTCCATAGAATTAAATCATTATTTAGGTTAGTTTTTCCATTTGAACACATTAAAAAACACTACATCTTCTTACACCAGTTATTCTTAGAATTAAATAAAGTATTGCTATCACAAACTCACCCATTTATATGCAACACGTCTTCCCACAACAGTGGTTGATTAAATTTCTCCCTGCAAACCTATTAAAATTATAAATAAAGATAAGATGGGGCAAATCTTTTGCATTTGGAACTTTGAAGGGTGAGGATAGCATTCAAGCATCATGAAACACTACTAAAGTCCCCAAGATAGAAAAAAACAAAAGTGGATAATAACACATGCCTGAAGTCCTGGAACACCATCACTTGCTAGAAGAGTAATCATTCCATAATCTGAATGTGCAGAAGCACCATATATTTCCTCATCAAAACACCCCAGTTCACCTGAGATAAAAATTAAGTGGCCAGTTATTCTTAAGAAAGCAACAGGAGGAAGCAAACTATCACTGCGCGACCAGTTTTACCTTCTCTCTATCTACAGTTTGTGTCAACCTGACAAATGCTGACAGATACATTACCCAAAAAAAGGGCAAATTAAGCCAGCATACCTGGATAATGTAAGAGGCGAAGAAATCCATTTGGTGAGTCCAAGGCTCCTACTTTCTCAAAATAATCTTCATCCAGATTTAAAGCCAGAGCAATCAAACAGATTAATTTTTTCCCAGCACACCTGAGACAATAGATCTAACACTATATTGGGAAATTGTAATTTGTTGCTGTTCTGTATGAAAGTAAACTTGTCAAACAAGCAAATTATGAGCATGCAAGAAGATGAAACTACAGATAATCCACCACTATAAGATAGCTATGCTCAAACATACAATTGCCACTTCATGTAGATTTTCCTGGAAATATATAATCCACTTCCTAACTAAAGAACAATTTTCCATGAAAGGAGAAGACTATCAAATTTAAGAACCACTACTTTCACACTCTCCACAAATACAATTTTAATATACTCAAAAAATAATTACTAGGAGATCAAGTTAAAACAACAGCCTATAACCAACCAAGATCATAAATGTTCAGGTTTCCAAAGTCATTTAAAACACAAAAAAACTACAAGGATCATGACTTACATAAGTTTTTTATGGTACGACTCCATTGTCAATCTCCAAGACGGGAGAATTTCTGAAATTCCATTGTCAACCATAAATTTTGAAGTAATGCTCAAAGCAGCAACATACATGTTATACATATACGAGGAATATCAAGGAAACGTATGCCATGGTTTTTAATGTAAGATTCAAACAATATGACAACATGTAATAAGAAATTCTAACAATCGTACAAGCAAAAGGTAAGTGCGTAAGAAAATACCTTGGGAAGGCCATTGGTTAAGATTAGTTTGAGCCGTATCCGCTTCTACAGGACCAACATAGAAGCCTTCCTTTGAGTCACCTATTTCCAAATTAATAAATCAGACAATCAAATTCTAATTTTCATAACATTTCCTAGACAACTAATTGCAAAAATCCCTATCTAATGCAAAGGGTTTCTAGAAGGGTTCATAACTGAAAAGGGCCAATAAAGAAGGAACAAAAAAGAAAAAGAACCTTTGGAACTTGAGAGGGGATCGAGGTTCTCTGCATACAATGGAGTGTAACCTCTGTGTCGTTTGCGAGACAGTTTCATCTTCTCGCTCAAGGGGAGGGAGAAGAATTTCTTACTCTCTTCAAAAACTTTACAAAGAAGTTGCTGTTCCACTCCATGGTTCACCAAGTAAAAGAAGCCATAGTCCACACAAGCCTGTGTGAGAGAAAGGGATGCAAGTTGAAATATGGCATAAAAGAAATTAAGAAGATTGTCGGAAAGGACAGAAGGAAATGAAAACCTGACGGATTGAATTGGCTGTAGACATGCGATCGGGTGAAGAGAGGTCTATGATCGGGAGTTTCGCAGTTTCTGCCATTTCTCTCTATCTATTTCACGCCTGCTTGGCCAAAGCCCCTTTTTAATTTTTATCTTTATTTTCTTTGTAGGGCAAAGTGACGAATGAACTCAGGAATAGCTGGGAATTAGTAAAATGGAAATGAGTGATGACGACCTGCTGTATTGGGTTCTGTTAAATCAAACTAAAAGTCCAAGGCCCTTTACTCTTGTCAATTGCCATGCCCATTTATTTCTCTATTTCTTCTCCTTTTCTCTTCAACTGCAGCTCTTGAGGAGTTCAACTCTAAACAGTACAATCTCCTTGTTGTGAAATTGCTTCTCATCGATCATGGTGTAAGAAAGATAGCCAAGAAAAGGTCATACAAGTGAAATTGCTTCTTTTTCACTTTTTTGCAGAATTCGGTAAAATCTTTCCAATAACCACACTGAATTCTGCAAAAAGCTAAAAAAAGAAGCAATGTCGTCCCTTTTTGAAAGGCAGTGTTGAACCCGCCCGTAAAATTCAGTGGTTTTCATTATGAAAAAGAAAGCGTCGCTGACATCTTTCTTGACATATTGGGTTAATGAAATCAAAGAATTGAATCTATTAGCTTTATTTTATTTCTTTTTTCTCCTTTTTCGGTAAAGATAAATTTGTGGCAATGTTTCCGTCACTCATCTTCGATCAATATGTCCGCAAACTGTCCGAAAAGAGATGATGACGAGTAAAGGTCCTAAAGGGCCTTGGACTTCGATGACATTAGTTACACTATGTGAGACTGCAGTTAGAGGGGGGTACAAATCGTTCAAAACGTGAATTATTTCACGAGATACAAAAATGTGGCCAACGCCAAAAATTCATATTTGATCAACATAACAGAAAGAAGAAAAGAAGATGGCCTGAATCTCATACTCCCATGTCCAAAACTATTAATTCAGTATACTGTAGGCTTATATAATATACCTCATCAAAACCAAAAAATCTTAGCAGTGCAGCCAACTCAAGAAAAAAAATCATGGCTTCATTTCTCTGCCACCTCTTTCGCTTCCTGCTTATCCCTTATCATGAGAAGCGACCACAGAAGGTTCGAGGCACCTATAGGTTACAAAACGAAAAAACAACAATGTTCATCTTCTGGCAAATCTACTACTTCTAACTCTCCTTGCAGTTGCTGTATAAGAACCAACGCCAGCATCTCTTTCTGGAACATGCTCTTCTTCCTCGTCACTGGTTTCATCAGTTCTCCATCTCAGCCCATCATTCACCTCCGTTTCATCAACAACGAACTCCTCTTTACCACTGAAATATATGGGAATCATAAATACAACAGACAATGAGAATGGAGCACTACATTGCCATTAAACAAACAAAGTTTTTTGAAAGAACGAAAATGGGTTTTTTTTTTTTCAATTAGAATAGTTTCATAAGAAAGCCTTAAAAAAAGAACAAGAGGCAAAAGGAAAAAAATTGTTTTACCTCCAAGCTATGCGCGTTGGATCATCTTTAGAATTCTTATTCCTAGGTCTATCATTTCCATCATTAGGAAAACCATTATCACTGCCAAACATAGCCATGACTGGATTAGCTGTAATCCTATGGGAATACGGAGGACTTGTATTTCGTAATTGCTTAGCGAACCCATTTTGTACCCTTTCTGGGGACACTTCATCGAATAGATTGTGATGCAGGTTACCCTTCGGAAGCACTTCTAATAAAGTTCTGGTGGCCTCTTTTAATGGAGTGGTATTCATATGATTACCATGATGAATTCCAGGAGTTGAGATCCCATCAAATTTCAAATTGTTGACATTAAAATGAAGCTTGTGAGTTCTTTCTGGACTGCTAAATAACCTTTGATGGAGAACTGATGAGGAGCCATATTTACCCACTTCCAAGTGAGGATTCTTGATAGATGCACCAAACCTTTGTTGAGTTTCAAAAGCTGATGGTTTCAGTGTAGTGTTATGATTTGTCAGTGAAACAAGAGAGGAATCTGCAGGCAACGAAACCAATAAACTGCCTAACTTTGGCTCTTGTACCATGGAAAGATCAGCCCCTCCTTGAATTTCAACTTCTTCACCAGACGTCCTATGGACCTCAGGTAGCAATTTTCCAGTCTTAACTTGTTCCTGTTGAACTTTTGGCAGCAACTGAATGGATTGGACCTGTTTAAAGAATGAAGTTGCTTTAATACAATTTGTTCCCAAACAACAGTTTTTTATAAAATGCAGGGATGTTATGTTCCAACTTGCACAACAGAAAAAATGATTTTACTCTTAAGAAACCTACTATCAGTTAGGTTCTCCTTGCTGGATCAACACTGAAGCACCTAAAATTTAGCCCATAAGAGTTCCCACAGGTTTGCTCTAATTTTGTGCTTGTGAAGGGAGAGTGCTTTTGGACATATTTAGTCAATCACTATTCTAATTTGGGAGAATATATTAAAGAAAATCAGACATAAAATCACAGACATCCCCATGTTTAAGGCTCCTTTTTCCTAAGAATAAACTTGAACCAGTCAAAAAGCATAGTTCTTTTTGGCAAAGATGCACACATAAATTCTGCAGGGTTTTAACCACTTACAACCAGTTCTGCTCTGCGGTGACTAGCTGATCTCATTCTGGATAATACTTCTTCACTGAGAGAATTCTTTGAAATGAACTCCTGCTCCACACTCTGAAGTTTGGAATGAACATGGTATGCCTCCACATATCTGTAGCGCTGGAATAGAGAAATATATATATATATATATATGACAGCAAGTTGCTGAGTATCTAGAAGTAATGAGAATTTCAGAAATTGGATAAATAGAATATAACATAATCATTCACAAGATTACCAGTTACAACATCAATTTATTTGATATAGCATTCCCTGTGGAGTTTGTTCTAGTCGCAGGATCAAAGGCACTAGTAGCATTCCAGGTTTTAAAATCAATCTTAAACAAACCTTATACGAGATATAATCTTGTCTTCCATCAGTGTTCATCTAATTTTCAACCTTATCCTGTGTTCAGTTCAGTATCAGACGTCAAGTGACGCTAACAGTTGCTAATAGATGGTACTGACCGATAGCAGATAATTTTGATTTAAGTGAAGACATCATTTTAAAAAATAGTGAAAGTGATACAGAGATGAATTTGTTAAATCATTTGCATAAGTGACTTTGCTTGCTTGATGTGCTGTAGGAGGAACTTTGCTTTCATTTTATAGCCAAAATTTCACATTCAGAACAATCTGATTAAAAATGAACATATGAAAAGGAAATGTTTAACTTTTAAATGGTACCTGATATGGAGTTTAGTGAGCTAGTGTTGGGACTAAATAGCAGAATTGGTTGCAATATAATGACTCAGGTAACATGCAGTTAAATGTCACATCAATAGTCAACCAAAAAAAATATAATCAATCCTAGAATTGTTACCAACATAATGAGCCATTATTATTAAGCATGAATAGAAAGGAAAGTTAGGGAATATTGAGACTTAACTGAGTTGGTCACACAACTACACATATCAAAAATTCAGTTCATCGTTTTTTTTTCTTTTCCCTTTGTAAGTGATAAATTCATCAAAAAAAAAAAGAGCCAAACTTGTTACAAACCTACTCAAAAGTTGATTAAGATTAGTGCCAGAAGTTACCTGAAGATAAAATACAACAAGAAGACTTCCAATAGTTGTTGAGGGGTCATCTAAAGCATAATCCAAGAGACACTTATGGAGATATTTCTCTTCATCCAAATTCCATGGCAACTCTATCATTCGATCTACCAGATTGTTCTTGATACAGAGACAGCAAATTTCAGTCACCAGTATGTCCACCCAGTTTTTCCAGGCCATGCATTCACCTTTAAGATCATCGGAAGCATCTCGAGGTGGTCCAGCATTGAACTTATTTTCCCTAACTTTAGTGCAGAGCATTCTCTGGTGCATGAATGCTTCAGTCAATAGTGCACACTCTACCCTAACCCGAACTGCAGTAACAGCATCACTAAGTGAAACCATTTGAGATCCATCATGCCCAGACCATCGTAACACCATCAATGCTGTTTCAGGATTCCCCCTTTCTAATAGCACTTGAGCAATCTTAGGATGAGTTGATGGGCCTGAAATCTCAGGAAGAAGGTTGCAAGCTTCCTAAGCAACATAAATCAATGAAGAGCTGTCAGCATATAGAAGGGACTTGGAAAGCACAGATTCACTTTAGGAGAGGATTAGAAACATTGCTGCAGCCATTCCCAACATGTAGCTACAAATACACAAGCATACTCAATGCAGAATAACTGCCATTGCAACTTATCGAATATGAAGAATAATTTTACGCATAGTATAAAGAATGTAATGATGGATCTCGATAGGATATTTTCAAACACAGAGAGTATGATTTTCTGGTAATGAAGTGTTAACCAGTTAGTAATAAGATAATAAAAACCTTGATCAATGTAGGAATTAAAAATTGAGCCTCATTAAGTTACTTTAGCTTGAACAAGAAGTATTATTAATCACACATTGAGTTAGAAATATAAGTACTTCATAACTTAAATTAAAAGATTTCACTTGTATGTTATATTTCTGTATTGTTAAACTGCTAGACTCCATGGTTCATATACAAATAACAAGAAAAGTAGCCTGACGAAATTTTTTTAATGTTGTATCCATTCTCTTGATCAGTAATAAAACAGGTGAATAGATTATAATCTATTCAGTATCAGAATAATCAGACATTCAGTTACCTGCAGAGCTTCTTCTGTATGATCATCCAGAAGATAGAAAGCAAGTGATTCCAATAATGAATGCCTGGTTATACCAAATGTAGCTGAAAAGTCATCTACAATGTGTCGCCAACTTTCGTCTGGCATCGTCCAATGTCGATCAAAAAGATAATAAAGAAACTGTTTTCTATGTTAAGAAAACAAAGGATAACATAACATGTTGCAAAATGTGAATACATAATCATCAGAAACATATTTGAGAACGATCAAAAATTTAAAGGATACAATTGCTTGCTTTGCAAGCACCAAATCAGAACTTCCATGTAAAAACAGTACATCAACAGCAGCTCGAAGATTTTCAAATGGATAGCCTACTGTCAAACCCTCCAGCTTAGACCTGAAAAAAACCCTCCATCCTTCTGCAATGGTGCAAGTTCTGACTCTTCTCCCATTTCTTGCATATGATTCTGCTCTATCTCAAGATTGGCCAGAGCATCTTCAATGAACAGAGAACCAGCCTGCATACTGGACTCAGCAGATTGATTTGGTACATCAGGCCATGAACGCTTAATTGCAGTTGATTTCCTTTCACGGACAACAGAACGCCATGATGATAAATTGGTATAACGAGACCTCACATTCTCCAGAAAGTGATGTCTTATACACCATGCTATAACCTCCATATGCTGAAAATCAAGAATCAGCAGATACAAAGGATTATGAATTGCATGCAGCAATAGAAGACTTGACATGTCAAGTTATGGTTTCTATAACACTTGCAGAAGTTGAAAAAACTGTTCTAAGTTCAATACAACTCATCAAGTCAGTATCATTATTACACCAATGATAATAATGATAAAAATACAGGCAATAAGAGTGCTATATGTGCCGGACATTTCTGAACTCCAAACTCTAGTTTCTAGCTTAGTGAGCTTTTCAAAAATCAGCTAAAAGATTATGTCCTCAAAAGGATTCTAAAAATACTAGAAGAGAATATCACAAAATATTCACGAGGGGAAATGAAAAGGACGGAACTAGATGATACTATGAACAATAGAACAAAAACATATAGCAATCGAATGTAGCATTCTGTTAACTAATCAATCCTTTAAGCAACCAAACCTGTTTTGCCTTTGAAATGCTCTCTTGAAGGAGCTGCAAGTCATGAAGCCGTGCAGAAAGACTATCCTTAAATGATGATTCCAGAACTTCAAGGACTTTGGATATTCCAGCCAAATGCACAGAAAGTTTAAGAAGTAAACTCAACCTACGTTTCATTTCTTCTGCTTCAAGATTATCTAATGAAGTGTTAAGACTATTACACGTTAGTGATCAGCCAAATAATATACATGCAACAACACGAAGTAATAATGGTGCTTAGAGTATCAAATTTGTAAACTTTTGAGGATACATATCACTTGAAGTTCTGCTATGATGTTTTTGAACATCCGCTTGCACCAATCCTTGACAACCACTTCATCCAACAAGAAAGCAATGACAGGATCACTAGACACAGCACTTTCATCCATACAAACATCTGTAACATCTGTTAAATTTATGTTAAGGATATTCATAAGTTCCAGCATGAAGACTTTTAACTCTTTTCCAAATTTTCTTTCAGAAATGAAAGTAGATTTTTATAAAGCACGAATGCCCAGATAATCACACAGAAACAGAAGCACCAGCTGTCCACGTTTCAAATATCTCTTTTCCAGTTCAAATGCTTCCATGTAGAAACAAAGGAAAAAAAAAGCGAAGAAATAATGTTTTAGGGGATTCCATTGAAGGATTGTTAACAGTAGATTTTAAAAAATATATATTAGAAATGAAACAAATGCCCCAACTTTTCAATATAAATAAGCACAGATGCAGCAAACGGATACAGTGACAAATTAAAGAAACCAAGTTATTTTCCAACGCAACATCAAATAAAGAATAGAGCCGTTGGACATCAGCAGTCAATTCATTGTCCACATCTTCTTTCTCCTGAAATCTTTCATCAAACCTTTTGGAAATAAGGCCAGCCTCTATGCACTCATAGTAAAGGCGAGGACGGAGCCTAATTCCAGTCTTTGGGATAGGGATTCGACAAATTGGGCAAAGATCACACCGTTGGCTACACTCAGAGCATAAGGAAGCATGGCCACAAGAGTTCAACACATATTGAACATAGCGCCCACAACTTCTCAAATCTCTAGTTGCCCGACAACGCTCAACTTTCGCTTCGCTGCACAACTCAATTAAATCAATGGATGCCAAGTGTTCCAAAGCTTCCTGTAACAAGAATCAGTAGCAAGATAAAATTTACCATAAAACAAGTAACAATGAACATACAGCAAGAGATATGTCATATCCCTATTCTAAAGTTCAAAATATCAAACCACAAACACTTGAATCGTCATTCACGGATTGGTGACAATTGGATGAGAACAGAACTTTAACTCCAAACATCTGATACACCACAAGTTAAGTCTAAAATCCAATCAGATCAAATCATAGTATTACTCAAGTAAGCAATATTCGGTACCCACAAAACCTCCTTCAAAAAAGAGTAATGGGTTTTAACTTTACTCTCTTAGTCGACACAAAATGCCAGCAGATCACCCTTCTGTCAGCAGCTCACACTATTGCTATCAAATCCAGTCTCAAGAAGCATGCCCATTAAGTAAAAAAAGAAACAATCAGGGGTGCAATTTCTGGAGTAGCAACCCATTAAAAATCCACAACTTCCCAACCAAATTATACTACAACTTCGCCTTTCCATCATTATATTATGGGTACCTCTAAAATATACAAATTCATTAGCAAATGATAGCATTTTATTTTTCTCTAATCCTACCAAAAAAAGTTCAGTTGTTAATCATGGTTCAGTACCTAAATTCCATTCCCTATTTTCTCAATTCCACATTCTACAACAGAAATGAAAATACCAAAATCCCCTATGTACTTAAAAAATTACAGTGGAATAAGGTCCCGTGAACTAACTGTAAGCAGACAAATACATAATCACAAGCAGCTACTACTTAAATAAAAAGCTTGCTTAAATTCAATAATGCTTTAAACAACAATACCACAAAACAAAAAACAAGGAAGAAGAAGATGAAGAAAACGAAAGAAGAACAAATAAGAGCTTAGGTTAATTCCATATGTTACAGTGATTATGTGAGACAATAATGATCTAAAACCCTTAAAAAATGGGAGTAGCATAATAGCTGGGGAGGGTTTTAGGGTTTTATAAAGTAATTGGGAAATAGATTTACGTACTTGAACAGCTCGGCTGCTGTAGTTAGGCTGAAGAAGCGAAGTCGTGGATCTTGCGGTGCCGGCACCGCAATCGGGGGAGCTAGAAGGTGAAACCCGACCGTTCATTTGGTTTCGCTCCATTTTCTCTCAGAGAAAGCTTTCAAAACAATTCGTGATTTTAAAATCAAAATTTGATGGGTGGAAGTGAAAGAAAATAGGAATTGAGAAGGGCTTTAAGAGAACGATGCCATTGCTTTGGAACTTGGTTGCTAGCTAAGACAAATAATTCAAATTTTTTGCAATGAATTTTTGGTGTTGTGAAGGGAGAGGCGTTCGAGTTTCCGAAAAGTAGGGGTCCGTGTCAAGTCCAATGGGAAAGCCTATCATTGACGGTAAGTATTGCTTTGGACCGGGGTTTCACTATTCGGTTAAAACCAATCAAATCTAACCGGTTTTTTAAATTTTTTTCAAAAAAAAATTATTTTGGTTTTCGAACATGGTTCGATTTTTTTTTCAAATTCGATTAAACTGAAAAACCAAAATTTTTTAATATATATAAAATTAAAAACCCCACTCCCAAATTGTAAATTAATTCCTAAAGCGACTTGGCTTTCGGCCTTTTCATTAGGAATGGCAAAATGACCCGATTCGAGGTCGTTCCGCCTGTCCCGCCTCGGTCAACACGGTGATTCCCCGCATTGATTGGGGAACAGGGCGGAGCGCCCCGCTCCGTAATTTTTTTGGACGAGGATGAGATTTACCCACCCCGTCTCGTTTTGCCTTGTCAACGGTGACTTATAGTAGAGTTCGTGTGATTTGATCTCTTACTTGGGAAACAAAATTATACAAATTGTGTATTCTCATTATAAAATCTGTCAAAACGGGACAAAATGAGGTGAGACGGGACGGACACAAACAATAAAACGGGGCTCCGTTTGCCTCGCGGGAATGGGATGGCAAATTCGCCTCGTTCGAGGCACGGGGCGTGGATGGAGAATTTTTAAGGGGGCGAGGCTAGGATGGGGATGACGATCCCCGCCCGCCCCACCCCCATTGCCATCCCTACTTTTCACGGAGGAACGGTCGCCTTACTCCTCCCCTTTCCACCGGCCCAGCGGCCCTCCTTCGTCACGGCGTCACTCGGCCACCTTCCCCCTCCTCCTCGGACGGTCGTCGACCCATCCTTTTGCTCTCTCTATTTTTCTAAACCGATAAACACAAAATAGACCGTACAAATGCCTCCCTCATCCTCCCGTGACCACGAGCCAACACGACGCCCCCTCGTCCGAGCGTCCCTCGACCCCTCCTATTCCACTTGTTTGCTCCTCTTACTCTTAGCTTTCAAGACTTTAAGATCATGGTGAGTCACCGATTTACGGAGGTTGAGTGACTCGAGTTTATAGCGAGTGTTGGCTTTGTAATTAGGCAACAATTTTCCCTTTCTTTCTTTCTCGGATACGATCCGTTAACACAATACTCGTACACGACCTTAAAATAAAAGATATCGACAATATAAATCTAATATATCTATATATTGCGATTTCTTTGATGTAATTTAATACCAATGATTAATGTGCAAGTTAATTAGAAAATATTTTTATTTTTGAACAAAATTAGTTATCAATTAGAATACCGGTTGATTATTCTTTCAAATTTGATATCTGCCATTAAAAAGATCGCTACATGATGATACTTGGAAACCATAATATGTGGCTTAGGCCTAAATCAAGATGAGCATAGGAGAAAGAGTTCACTACTTTGGATCACATTGAAGCTAATGAAACTGATAGGACCTAAATCAAGATCGTGCCTTCAATGCTATGAAATTATTCTGGGCTTTATTTGCTTTCTGAGACCTCGAGTAGTTTTTGGAGGCTAAGATGCCCAATTGTCTGAATTGAAATCTATGTCCGTATAGCATATCACATTGACATGGCTGCTTAATTAGCAAAATCCCTTTAGCTGATTCTTGACAAACCATGTGGTCTTACCTAATTGCCATCAAACTGTCTGAAATGTACGTGCTGAAATCTAGTTCTTGATATTTATCTTGGTTTCATTTACAAATATAGCAAAATTTGCTGCAAATGGCAGACATGAATTTGGTGCAAGTGGCTGCTTGATTAGCAAAATCCCTTTATCTTATGCTTGGTAATTTGGCAGTAGCGAATTGGGGTTTTTATTTGGTACTTTGGTGAGATTTTGATTGGAAAATAGGAGCTTTTACGTTTGAAATTCATGAGAGAAGAAAGAAGTATTTATAAACACTATTAGTGATGATTCTAATCTCATGGCTACCATTGATCACTGATTCTTCATTGGGGCATTTATAAGTATTTATGTCACAATTAGAGAAATTCATGTAAACTATGTAATGCTGCATGTTGACAGAAAACAAAAGAAACAAGTTAAATTAGTCACCAATTTAACGTACATGTTTCATCATCTGCATAATGCAATTCGTTGAGTACTTGAGGCAATGAAATGCCATCGGAAGCAATGTCCCATGAACGTTAAAATTCACAGGCATAATTTTACCATCTCATAGTCTAACAGGCTTGCCTTTGTCTTCCTAGTGGCTATGGCTCCATACACCAATGCAATTGTGATGAATAAGAAAAGAGTAAGAAAAATGTAAGGTTTATTTTTATTTTTTTCCTTGATTTTTCAAAAAAAAATGGGCTAAAGACCAAATTAATTGAAACCAAAATATCGGTTTTTTAACGGAAAAATCAAACAGTATTTTGGTTCAGCATTTAACTATTTTTTGAAATAAATATGCATATACGATGACGATGCATCTAGTTTAAAAAATTGTTCATTTCGCACACACCCAATCAAGTCTAAAAGAATCTCCATCACATCTGTCTTCAGATCAAGTTTAACGTAGTTTTGTTAATACAGTTAATCAACTATAGTTATGCAATTTTTTTCATGACCCCAACAATAAATTTAAAATCTTAGACCTCGAATTGAACGAATATTCTTTCTAAAAAAAAAAATTAAGTTCGATTTTATTTAAACTCCTACAAATTAACCTAAAGGATGAAATTTGTTTTAACATAAGCTCAGAAAAATAAAATAAATATGCTTTTAAAACAAATATATAAATAAGTTAATAAACAGCTGGTGGAAAACGAAGTATATATTGGGATTTGTTTTCACCAATATATGCATAATGAAATATAACGCATTAAAGTATTTCTAACTTTATACTTTTATATTATATACATGCATGAACATATTATATATAAGGACACGGGTCAATATGATCAAATTATGTTTGTTGAAATTTCATTGTCTGGAGTTTTAAAAATATAGCGATTAAAAGAAAAAACTGCATGTTCTGTTCCCAATCATTACAAATATATGTTTTACATGAAACAAACGTAACGTAGAATTTTAAACTATCATAGTCTGAAAAAAAAAAAAAAACTCGTTCAAAAATTTCCTATTTCAATAATAAATATTGTAAAAACCTCTCGTTTTTGGAGGAAAACATAAATTTCAAACCATGCACTTACTGGTGCCTCTGTGATTTAAGCCCAATACAAACTTGATGATACGAGCCCACAGTGTCTTATATGTTGTTCCGAACAGCCCATTATTTTATAGCCGGCCTAATACTCTTTCAAAAGCTACCTCATTCTCGAACTATTTGTGGGTGTTCGAAAAGGCCCAAAATTAGTCCTCGACGAGCCTCTGAGAAACCGATCACATAGATTTACTGGGTTGGGCTTGGATAGGAGGCAAATTACTTTTTTTTTCCTCGAAATGTCCACTGGAAATGAATCCTCGCAAGTGTGTTTGGAATACAATACGATAAATCAAAGAAAGAAAGAAGTTCTAAACTATTTTTTGAAGAAAAGAAATCGAACGTAAACCATCTGTATATTCTAACAGATCAGCTCTTAGAGTTGTATGTGTTACTTAAAAAGATTAGGAATCAAATGTTAAGTATATTTGGGTTGAAGCAGAAGTGAAGGCATGGAAATATGCGGAAACGGCATTATTAAAAGATTAAAAAAAACATATCTCAAATTAGATAGGGGGTTTCATCACAATAAATGGGCTGATATATTATTAATGGTTAGGTTAATCTCAAATGTAGAACAAAGGTATTCCTTTAATTTTTTATTTTTTTAATATAAAAAAGGCATATTTTCGGACCATTCTTGATCGAGATTGATGGATGAAAAGATGCAATCAGATATGTCACGGTGGTGCACGAAAAGAGCATAAGATTTTGCATACAATATTGGCAGGGCACCTATGTATGGTCTTTTAAGCAAGCGGGTTATTTCTGTGGAGTATTATTGAATAAAAAGGTTCAACGTAACAACTTAGGACTGTCTAGTTCTTAGTAATTTAATAATACACAAGTAGGCCACGTTGATGCTGAAGGGAAGTTTATTATTTATTACAAGGCTGTGGGGAACATATATGTTAGATAGGAAGAGTAAAGTATTGTTTAATTGTCATGGTGACCCTCATGTTTACAGCCAAGCAAATACGTTGATAATACCCCCCAAATCATCAATTAGTAGTCTTCTCATTGTTAAATTTGGAATAATGATTACAAGATATCAAAATGCTAGTCCTTTCATAGATTCATTTGGCAATTAAAAAGTATGGTCAAGTAGGCTCTTAAAAAAAAAAGGAAAAGAAGAAAAAAGAAATCGTATCATGACCATGAGGACTAGAACTTTCATCATTCCAAGCAAACGACATGATTAGGTAAGTGTAAGCTAATAATGAACTCAGAAATTAATCATTATTTATCATTTTAAATGATTGTACCATCATGTGCTATTATATCATTTCTCAATTCCCAATTGTAATAAACAATTTCACCAACCAAACATGCTTCCTGAGCAAAATCATCTGAACTTGTACCTCCCGTTTTTTATTCCAATAATGCCCTTACAACCCACTCGTGCAATCATCGTTTCCATTTAATCAACCATGGGTATGAATGTCACTGACACATGATTAGAGACTTACAATTCAAGGATCAACCTAGACCGTACGTAAGAAGCACGTGCACGCCAACTAGTAGTTGCCCACCAAAACATTGATTAACTGAAAATACCAATCTAAGCAAGGATTCTACTAAACCGTTAATCACATGATGACCAGCT